GACTCTGGCTCCAAATGAATCTCTACTGCGCAGACTCTGGCTCCAAACGAATCTCTACTGCGCTGACTCTGGCTCCAAAAGAATCTCTACTGCGCAGACTCGGGCTCCAAACGAATCACTACTGCGCAGGCTCGGGTGCCAAACGAATCTCTACTGCGCAGACTTTGGCTCCAAATTAATCTCTACTCCGCAGGCTCGGGCGCCAAACGAATCTCTACTGCGCAGACTTTGGCTACAAATTAATCTCTACTGCGCAGACTTTGGCTCCAAATGAATTACTACTGTGCAGACTCGGGCTCCAAACGAATCACTACTGCGCAGACTCGAGCTCCAAACGAATCTCTACTGCTCAGGCTCGGGCTCCAAATAAATCACTACTGCGCTGACTCTGGCTCCAAACGAATCTCTACTGCGCAGGCTCGGGCTCCAAATAAATCACTACTGCGCTGACTCTGGCTCCAAACGAATCTCTACTGCGCAGGCTCGGGCTCCAAATAAATCACTACTGCGCTGACTCTGGCTCCAAACGAATCTCTACTGCGCAGGCTCGGGCTCCAAATAAATCACTACTGCGCTGACTCTGGCTCCAAACGAATCTCTACTGCGCAGGCTCGGGCTCCAAATAAATCACTACTGCGCTGACTCTGGCTCCAAACGAATCTCTACTGCGCAGGCTCGGGCTCCAAATAAATCACTACTGCGCTGACTCTGGCTCCAAACGAATCTCTACTGCGCAGGCTCGGGCTCCAAATAAATCACTACTGCGCTGACTCTGGCTCCAAACGAATCTCTACTGCGCAGGCTCGGGCTCCAAATAAATCACTACTGCGCTGACTCTGGCTCCAAACGAATCTCTACTGCGCAGGCTCGGGCTCCAAATAAATCACTACTGCGCTGACTCTGGCTCCAAACGAATCTCTACTGCGCAGGCTCGGGCTCCAAATAAATCACTACTGCGCTGACTCTGGCTCCAAACGAATCTCTACTGCGCAGGCTCGGGCTCCAAATAAATCACTACTGCGCTGACTCTGGCTCCAAACGAATCTCTACTGCGCAGGCTCGGGCTCCAAATAAATCACTACTGCGCTGACTCTGGCTCCAAACGAATCTCTACTGCGCAGGCTCGGGCTCCAAATAAATCACTACTGCGCTGACTCTGGCTCCAAACGAATCTCTACTGCGCAGGCTCGGGCTCCAAATAAATCACTACTGCGCTGACTCTGGCTCCAAACGAATCTCTACTGCGCAGGCTCGGGCTCCAAATAAATCACTACTGCGCTGACTCTGGCTCCAAACGAATCTCTACTGCGCAGGCTCGGGCTCCAAATAAATCACTACTGCGCTGACTCTGGCTCCAAACGAATCTCTACTGCGCAGGCTCGGGCTCCAAATAAATCACTACTGCGCTGACTCTGGCTCCAAACGAATCTCTACTGCGCAGGCTCGGGCTCCAAATAAATCACTACTGCGCTGACTCTGGCTCCAAACGAATCTCTACTGCGCAGGCTCGGGCTCCAAATAAATCACTACTGCGCTGACTCTGGCTCCAAACGAATCTCTACTGCGCAGGCTCGGGCTCCAAATAAATCACTACTGCGCTGACTCTGGCTCCAAACGAATCTCTACTGCGCAGGCTCGGGCTCCAAATAAATCACTACTGCGCTGACTCTGGCTCCAAACGAATCTCT